CAGAATCAGGCTATTGACGAGTCTGCCGGGGCATCTCCTTCGTCATTGTACAGAGGGTTGGATCTCGATGAGTACGATCAGTGGCAACGCAATATCGACGATTCTGACGCCCTCGTTACTGACCCATACGAATACTGGCACACCAGGCGGCTCAAGTACCCCAAATTGAGTAGGATGGCCCTGGATTTACTGACTGTAGCCCCTATGTCAGCAGAGTGTGAGAGGTTATTTTCAGTGGCCGGGCAGATGGTTACGAGGCTTAGGAATCGGCTAGATGCTTCAACTATCGGCCTCTGCCAGACTTTACGCAGTTGGCTACGTGCAGGATTGATCGGGCAGTTGGATCAGACACTGGCAGAACCTTCGAGGGAATGATGGCGATATGCCAGGGGTTAAGTTATGCAAGGGAGTAAATCCCTTGCTCGTCATGTGGAAATCCTTTCCACATTGTGGATTCACATCCATAATGGATCCATATCCATCCATTCCACCGCCGTGATCTTAGTCATCATCCACATCAATTCCATATCCTCGAATGTGTAGTGGAGTGTAGTGGCTTTGAACCCTGCTGGCGACGGCGGAGGTGGCAGACGGAATGGTGACGTGCTCCATACACCCGACAGAACACGGATCGGACCACCGGGCGATCCAAACGACGTTCGATCTCGCGATGCCTGATCGGATTGTCACGGAAAGACTGTTGTTCAAGAATGCACCATGGACAGCAATCAGAACCAAGGTGGAGGACAATCTCCAAGAGCTCCCCTGGACTGTCGGCGTGCAGGAACAGACAGACCAGTTAATGAGGGTCATCCTCGAAGCGATCCACGAGCTGACGCCCCGTGCACAACCAGTACCGTACGCGAAGTGTTGGTGGACGAAGGATTTGACAAGACTTCGGCGGGTGTACACGTTATGGCGGAATCAGGCTAGGGCACAGCGGCGAGCAGGCCAGGTGAGGCCCGACCTGGAAGGACGGGCCAAGGAAGCATCCAAGGAGTACCATGATGCCATTCGGAAACAGAAGAAACTGCACTGGGACGAATTCCTGGCAGAAGATGTCAACATATGGAAGGCGGCTACGTACTTGAAACCCGGAATAGGCGCTATGGACGACAGAGTGCCCCCTTTGAAGAGACAAGACGGCTCCACCACGGTAGATAGGGTGGAGCAGGCAGAGGAGCTGCTCAGCACGTTCTTCCCGCCGTTGCCGGCCAGGATTGAAGATGAAGGCGACCGACCGCAACAGACGGAAGTGCACATGCCAGACCTCACCATGGAGGAAGTTGAACAAAAAGTGCTAGCAGCGAAACCTTGGAAAGCGCCTGGAGAGGATGGTCTGCCAGCAATGGTGTGGAAACAGCTTTGGCCAGTGGTTAGATACCGAGTCTTGCACCTCTTCGACACATCCCTCAAGGATGGTGCGGTACCCCACCAGTGGAGGAGTGCGAAGATCATCCCGCTAAAGAAAGCAGACAAGGGAGACTACACAGTGGCCAAAGCATGGAGACCGATATCGCTGCTGTCGACACTGGGCAAGATACTCGAGGCAGTCGTTGCAGAGCGGATATCCTATGTAGTGGAAAGCTATGGATTGCTGCCCGCAAACCACTTCGGGGCAAGGAAGCGAAGGTCAGCCGAACAAGCACTGGTTCTGCTGCAGGAGCAGATCTATAAGGCATGGAGGGCCGGCAGGGTGCTCAGTCTGATCAGTTTCGACGTCAAAGGCGCTTACAACGGAGTGTTCAAAGAACGACTCCTGGAGAGGCTGAAGGCGAGAGGCATACCTGATGGACTGGTGAGATGGATTGACGCCTTCTGCTCTGGACGAATGGCCACCGTGGTGGTAAATGGACACACGTCGCAGCTACGGGAGCTGCCACAGGCAGGTCTCCCGCAAGGATCACCGCTGTCGTCGGTGTTGTTCCTGTTCTTCAATGCAGATTTGGTGCAGAGAAGAATCAACGCAAAAGGTGGTTCGATGGCATTCGTGGACGACTACTCAGCCTGGGTGGTGGGATCAACAGCTGAGGAGAATCGAGCCGGCATCCAATCAATTATAGACGAAGCACTGGGCTGGGAAAGACGGAGCGGTGCGACGTTCAACGGAGACAAAACGGCCATCGTGCATTTCACTCGAAACGCCGCGCGTACCAGCGACAAACCGTTCATGATCAAAGGAAAAGTAGTCAAGCCCAAGGCGAGCGCCAAGATCCTGGGAGTGGTCGTGGACGCGAAACTGCGGTACAAGGAACACATAGCTAGAGCCGCTGCAAAGGGGCTCTCGGCTGCTATGTGTCTGAGAAGACTGAAGATGCTGTCACCGCGGACGGCGAGACAACTGTTCGTAGCAACAGTAGCTCCCACCATGGACTATGCGTCCAGCGTGTGGGCGCACTCATGTGGCATTAGAGAAGCTGCTTGGCTGGACAAGGCACAGATGATCGGAGCACAGGCGATCACGGGAGCTTTCCGGACCGTCGCAACGGCGGTGGCAGAGGCCGAAGCTAGCATCCAACCGGTGCAAGAACGGCATGCGCAAGCAGCAACAAGGTTCTGGATCAACCTCCGGACCCTTCCCAGGACACACCCGTTGGCGACACTGAAGGTGATGAAAGTGTGTCGCCGATTCGTGTCGCCGATGCAGAGGATTGCTCAAGTACAAGGGGAAACAGCCACTGAACGAATAGAGATCATTCGGGAGTACGCGTTACCGCCATGGAGAGACCGTATCCCGGTGTCGTGCGACCCTGACCGGGAGAGAGCGGTGGAAGAAGCAAAGAGGGTGGATGGCATAGTCATTGCCACCTGCTCCTCGCAGAGAGAGGGCATGGTAGGCATGGGAGGTGTCGTACGAGATACGGCCCTCAACAATGCCGACGAACTAGTGGCCAGCTACTCCATCACTCTTGGGTCGACGGAGGAGCTGAACCTATACATAGCCGAGCTGGGAGCTATAGAGATGGCGCTGAGATGCATGCCACTCGGACTGCGTCGACGGACTATAACCGTCGTGACGAGCAACCGTTCCGCACTAGAAGCCATACGGCGGCCGCGTCAACAATCCGGCTAACAGGCCATTCGGCAAATCTACGACCATGTCGGGCGCCTTGAAGACGAGGGCAACTCTCTCCAGATGATGTGGGTTCCAGCAGGCGAAGAAGACTTCGCACTAGGACCAAAAGCCAAAGCAGCAGCCCGGCGGGCCACTGAAAGAGACTGCAGACCAGATATACCACTGTATCAAGCAAGATCCACGAGGATAAGACTAGTCATAACCAAGCAGCAGCAAACAAGAATGCCGCCAGGAAGAGCTGGGAAATACTCGACGACGATAGACATGGCACTCCCTGGCAAGCATACCCGTACTATATATGACCTGCTGAAGAGGAAAGAAGCAGATGTGCTGATCCAGCTCCGCACCGGAATGGCAAGACTAAACAGCTTTCTGCACAACATCGGCGCAGTGGAATCGGATATGTGCGAATGTGGTCAAGCATCCGAGACAGTTAAACATTTTCTATTCAGATGCACAAAGTGGACAAAGCAACGGGAAGGCATGCTGAAATGCCCACAAGCAAAGATGGGAAACCTCTCGTTCTTCTTGGGAGGAAAGGCAGCGTCTGACGATGACAAATGGGCACCAGACATGCGGGCAGTACGGGCGACGATCAAATTTGCCATTGCAACGGGGAGGCTTGACATGGACCAGAAGCCTCAGGCACACTAACTATTCAGATTGAATCCTACTAACATCATACAGTCTCATTTTGACAGACCGGGCTTCAGCTGCTGAGGATAGGATGCTGAACACTTGGGGAAATTGGCCTTCAAGCAGGCCTGTCACGGCATATACACCAGATTGGACCAGTTAGTAAAAGTGAAATTTTGGGGCTTCAGGTGATTATGGAAGAACTGTACGAAACGAAAATAGCTTAGCGCAAAGGCCCTCTGGGGTGTGTCCCCGGGCGAAATAAAATCCTTACCTTACCTTACCTGTCGTTTCAATCACCACAAGGGTGGCGATGGACCGAGCACCTCTGGCGCTTGGGGGAGTGGTCCCGAGAGGTCAGCCGCGAGGTCGAGGCAGACCTCGTTGCCGAAGCGCAAGGCGACGAAGTCGTACTCCGATTCGAGGCGTTGCAGCAATGTCGCCAGAGGTACGTGGGCGGGCTCGGGGAGTTTGGCGTCAGCGATCTTTGTGGTAAGATAATCATGCATACCGCCAATGCCTTCCCGTACCCCTTTACTACCGACCTCGGCAATGGCGCTCAAGCCGTCCGGGAGGTGGGCCACGGCTTCAGCGAATGCCTTCACGAAGCGATCTGGGATGCGTTCCTTCCGCATGCCGACACGGTCGTTACCGCCAAATCGGAACCGACGCGCGAGCGAGCGGACGTAGCGCTCAGAGTGGTGGATGAAGTCTTGGAGACCAGCGACACCGTAGGGCTCAGGTTGAGGAACAAGCAGTTGCCACGACGTTTGTCATTGACGATGGCGATGAACAGCACTTGTCGGTGACCGTGGGCGAGTGGCGGGAAGGTGCCGTCTGCGTGCAGGTCCACGCCGCCAGTGCAGCCTGGCGCACTGTGGCGCTTGAGGTGACTGCTGGTTCGCGGTTTGCCAACGGCCCGGAAGAAGGCAGAGAGCCGGCCGTGGGGATCAAGGCAGAGGAAAGCACCAGCTACAAAGCCCTGGTTGCGCTCGACCGCCAGGGCGGTGAGGTACCACATGATGCCAGTTACCTGGCGTCCGCGAGTGGGCGGGTGAATCTCGCGTGTCGCAATCCGCCGCAACTCGTCGGACGACCAGCGTGAGGTCATGATGGCGTGCACATCTTGGGCGCCTTGTGCCACAAATGTGCGAATCTCGGCCTCGCGGGCTGCCAAACCGGCGGCGGCGAGGTAGTTGGCGAGGCGGTCCACGCCCATGGCCGGCATCACACGCAATTTTTCTTGGGTGGATGGCGGCCTCTGCGAGCAGTGTGTCCAATAACCAAGTTATTTGATTTGCTTGGTCGAGAAGGCTAATATGCCACTGAAATAGACCAAGATGGTTGAGCTGGGCTGGCCATCTAGAAGAGGCTCGGTACAGAGTGCCAAGCTGAGTCCGAAAAGACGCTCAACGAGGTGATCGGTACTGTTGTCACTAGCCTTAGGGTGCGGGTTAGTGTCTCGTCTCTCTGCTTCCTCCTCCCCTGGCACCCAGTCATCTTCAGTCTCGTCATCTTCAGTCTCATCTTCGTCATCCTCCTCGTCTTCATCCTCCTCGTCCTCATCCTCCTCATCCTCATCCTCCTCATCCACCTCATCCTCATCCTCCTCTTTCCCATCCTCCTCAGCCTCCCCATCATCCTCGCCATCCTCGTCATTTCCTCTATTTGATGTTGCCTCCTCTTGGGAACGGGAAGCAGGCATGGCCCAGAACGGGTGGTTCCATAAAATACTTCGAACACCCGTTAAGTTGCCAAGGCAAGGGACTTAACGGCTGAATATCCAGCCCGAAGGGTAAATACCGTATACCTGCTATTAAACTCTGCTGGGGGAACCCTCTAGATCCCCCTTTCGACTGCGGCGGTAACCAGTTGTTAAAACTGTGAACGGCCTCTAGTAACTGTATTCCAGCTATCTAGTCCAGGATGCTATTTACATCAAAGATGAAGAAGAAAGAAAGAAGTTCTCAAGCGCCCCTGAACTGTGGAACGATTTCTCATCCCTGGCGCGCACGAGCCTAGTACGTCTTGCAGCACAGCTGCAAGGATATGGGCCCTGGCCCGTGACAAAAACCACTTCAAACCTGTAGTAAGGGAGTTGACTAATAGTCATAGGGATCCCTCTACCGCTTCCTGACAGGCCCAATCAGCATAGCCGCGGTATTTATACTGAGCGCCACGTACCTATAAGACCTTCACGTATACATAAACCCTAGCAATCAGCATCTCCTCAACCATCATTAGATCAGGTAGATTGCTGGGGACTTCCCCGAAGTCAAGGTTATTCCCAGCGCTAAAGAAGTAGGGCTCGTTAGGGGCTCTTTTCTTATCTCGAGTAATACAGCAGCTGCAGATTTTCAAGCTATTTCGCTTCATATCGAGCCAACACTCCTGCAGCAAATACAACTATACATCTTGTCGTCAATCAGGGCAGGATAGAACTGTCGGAAAGCTAGCGTGGCACTCAGATGACTTGATGTGTGTGTATTGTCTATGTTCTCCCCGTTGCCCCTATTGTGATCGCTTGAGTGTATATCTGTCGACTAAAAGTGGGGGCCTGAGGTATCTGCACCAATAGGCGGTCTCGACCCTGGAGGTCACTACGTGACCACCCGATCGGACGCTTTGTACATGATCCAATCTAACACAACTATCTAATCAAACTGTCGCTCTTAAGGCTGTGGGTTAAAGGTGCCTCGACGTGTATAGCCGCCGCAGCGATAACCCTGTAGCAGTAATAAAGGTATGGTAGGGAACGATTCCTATGGTATAGGCGTGCCTAGCATAACAGGAGCCATTGGAATAGTGCCTTGAAGAATTGCCGTTTGAGGAATCGGCATGCCCAGAACTACTGTTAGCCGGCTAAGGGTAGGAGGGACAGGGGGAGGTCCCCATACCGCGCTTGGGGTAAATGGACCCAGCAGAGGTCTAGGCAGTCCCTGGAGTGCGGGCGCCAGGCGACGGAATAAAGCAGGCGTAGCAGGAGGTTATAAGCCATACACAGACGCAGGAGTTGGCGCAGTCCGCCTTGGAGGCGTCAGGTTGGCTAGAGAATCGGTCCTTTTCGTGGCTAATATTCCGCATAGCGGCAACGGCGGCTCGGGATCCGGCTACCCGTTCCCTTCAGCCTGCCCTACAGCTGGCACAGTCTCCTGTAAGCTTCGCAGGGACCTTGACGCTTCGAAATTCGACTTCGGGCAGGTCTTGCTTGCAGGTACGGCAGTTTCGAACTGCCTGGGTGTCACGGCACCAGACTTCCCGGTAACCCTAATCCTGGGTCTGGTCCCAGCCCCACTAGCTAGCTGCACTTAGCCTCAAGCTCCAAGCTCCCGTAGCTCTTGCCTTTTTATAGCATAACAAGATACCTTCACCCAGTCCTAGATTTGCCCCGTAACACTGGGGTATATCGTCCTCCATCTAGCCATATATATCCACCTCTTACCCACTTAGACTGCTAGATATCACTCGGGCAGGGAGGCTTTACAACAGCTTACATCTAATAATATAATAGATTTTAATAGAGGTATTGTCTTTAAGGTAGTTAGATCAGGTCTGAATAATCAGGGAGGAAACTGCACTGCTTCCCGGAGGCAGGATAACCGGGGAATCTTGAGAGGTAGGCCGGCTGCGGAGGTAATATGTAAACCTAGATACCGTTAGCAACCTGATAGGTTTGATAGATTCGACGGAAAAGGGAAGCAGCCGCCACGTAGGTTAGTATAAGGAGCAAGGAGCACGAGGTTGGAATCGTGCTTAGAAACCCAACAAATTGATTGTATTGAAGAAAAGAAGAACCTGAAAGCTCTTGGAGAGATTGCCAAGCTAGTTACCTAGTCAACGCTCAGGGGTTTGTGGGCCTTCATTTAGTAGCCGACCAATTCGTGCACGAGTTGAGCACAGGCCGGGCCAATTGGCCAATCAGAGGAGGTTTTATGGTCGATTCTTTCTGACTGAGTAAAACGCCCTTCGGGCTGAATCAACTGTACGAACCCATATATTCTCTTCTTCAAACGGATGCCAATGACCTTGTCCCGAGTATCCGGATCCAATCGATAGGCCCGCAGCACAAGCACCAGCACCCTCTTCCATAACCTCCGGTAACTTTTCCTTGTAGAGGGTAGCTGTACAAGCTCAAACGGCTTCGCATAGGCAGATCGAGGTCGGGTGCTCCTAAGCCAACAGCGCAAGTTCCGGCTTGTCTTTTCTGCTGTCTCTTCACATCGGTCCATGAGAGCATCCACTTGGCTTACTATGCGAGCAATCCTTTCCTCGTCTTCTGGTGGGCTCACCAGGTCCTCCTCAAACCCATCTTGCCCCCGGCCACAAAGCATGTGGCGTCTGCTGCTGCCGCTAGGGTAGTCGTACGGCATCTGGGTGATCGCAAGTAATGCTTGGCGGCTTTTGTCTCTGTATGTCTTATCCCAGCCTGTTCTCTTGATCCCGCAGCTTTGTTCCGTGTATGTCAACTTGGCGGGATTCGACGCCATCTGCGATGCCGATATCCCGTGCTGCTCGTTCCCGGCTGCAGCATGGCGGACCGCCTCGCGCTCATGTACAGACCACATATGGACATTGGTGCGTTCATCCCTTACTGGCCGGACCACGCTCCCATTTCGCTTGATGATCCAGTACTCCCGCTTTGACCCAGTGACCCATGTCTGTAGGTATACATACTCGAAGAGGTGGTCAACGTTACTGTATCGCACAGCGGCAGAGTTGCTTGGGCAATCCGTGGCCAGAGTTAGTCGGGATCTTATGCTTGTCCCGCAGGTGGGATATAACGCAAGATGGACCAGTGCTGAGTGCATATTTACACTCTGGCTGGGTACAGATGAGAAGGTTGGTTTTGGGGTCAAACCATAACCCAACGTGGGCGAGGGCTTCTGGTGTGGTTGTGTTTGGCATTGTAGATGATGAAGGTAAGATCAGATCGGAGTGAGACAAGTTGGCGTCTCGCTACGCTATATCCCGCCCCCCCCCCTCTTTTTCCTTTTTTTTTTCTTTTCTTAATACAAGCACGGCTGCTACTACTACTACTCATTCATAACAACTGATAGTATTGTGTGATAGATGGGGTAGTAGTGGTATGATTCCATTCGGTATAAGTTCGGTTGTTGTTATAAAATACTACGTCACCCCATGCACATAGGAGCGGCGATGGGGTGCATGGGGTAGCCTCAGCCGAAGGCTGTGTCTCCGCGGGCCGGGAAGCTATTACTACTACTGCATCATCTACGTACTGATCCATTGCCATGGCCATTCTTGGTATTATGTGGCATGTACGGATTCCGTGTGAGCACCTGTCGTTTCCTAAGCTCCTGATCCCTCATCTTCATCTTCATGCCATCCGGGGGAGACCCGTAGACCAGGTGATTACGATCAAATGGTGCATCCAACATCAGACCCTCGAGCGTTTTCACGCGAGAGACAGCCACGTAGCTTAAACCAGTCTGAAAGTCCCGGCAGGACAGATCTGTAACTATCATGTCTTCGGTGATGCTTTGTGACTTGTGCACGGTAATTGCGTAGCATACGATCAGGGGAAACTGGGTGCGAGCGCAGAGAGTGGCTCCGATGAGGAAGTCCCTCTCCACTGGGAGAATCGGCACAATCTTCCTGCCATCAGCGGTGGTCAGGAATACCGGTCCGCTGTATTTGTCAAACTCCATCATGATAACGCAGGGAGGGTCTTGGATGGGGTCGGCCCCAGGTGCCCAGCCGATATCGTAAACTGTGCCGCGAGCGCCGTTGCAGAGGCCAACTGGCTGCCAAAGGTTGGACGTCAGCATCAGACGGGAGCCAATGCATATGGGGATCTGCTTCGCAAGGTTGCCCGCCTTGTCATCAGGCGCAGCAGCCGCGCCGGGGCCGACGTTCTTAGCCATGACCTGGATGACTGGCCGGCTGAGGCGGTCGAGGTGATAGTGGTTATATTCGTTCACCCTATCTTTAGTGGCGTATACTCGTAAGGCGTTGACAAACCTTGCGACCTCTTGATCGTCTAGTTTTGCCTGTACGCGGCTGGAAAGGAGCTTCCAGGACTCCACAGATAGTTGGAGCAGCCGCAATTCCCCGAGAGCTAGGCGGAATGCCTCCTGATCGTCACCACGCTGCCGCTGGACAACTTTCAAGAAGACCGATTTATCGAATCGCCTATATGCGTTTCTGCCCTTGATCTCTACTCCCTGAACCTCTTTATCGTAATAAAGCGGCTTCTGCAGCACAGGGGGAAGCTGAAAGAAGTCACCAACCAACAGGATGTTCAGGCCGCCAAAGAACTCTTCGTTCTTATTCGGGAACGCCTCTCGGAGACGGTCATCGATCCAAGATAGCTGACGCAGTCCCAGCATGCTCTTCTCGTCAATGATCAGATACTTGATATCTTTAAGCTTCTTCTGGAGTTGGGCCTTATCAATGGCTGAGAGAGGCTTGAAGTCCTTATTAATTGGCAGGTGCAACAGGGAATGCAAGGTAGTGCCCGAAATCTGATTTCCCGCGACGCCCGTGGGCGCGGCACGCCAGACGGGCGTCCCTCTCCCGCCCGTCGCGGCTTGAAGGTGCGCAGAGAGCAGGTTGATGAGGTATGACTTGCCAGTGCCGCCTCCCCCATCTACATGGAGTAACAACTGGGAAGGAGCCCCTGTCAGAAAGTGGCCCATCACCGTGTCGTACACTAGGCGCTGATCTCGATTTAGGGAATCGCGAGCTTCCAAGGGCTGATGGTCCACGTCGAGATTCCAGGGGTTTTCCGCTTTGCGTTGCTTCCAGTAGTCGCCGCTGAGAATGCCGTCGTCGGTATACCGTCCAACGTGGGAGGCCCAATCATAATCGATGTCGATATCTCGGCGGCCGAGGATGTCGATGTCCTCTTCCTCCAGCGGGCGGTCAGGCAGCATGCGGGCGAGTTCATGCCAGTCCTCCTCCACAATGGGCTCCTCATGGAGCTCAAGCTCAAATTCATCGTCCTCTGCCCTCAATTCTTTGTTATCTGGCTCCCCATAATGATCGTCCGCGTGGGCATCGTGGTGCTCTGTGCAGCACTTGTACGCAGTCGCGAAGGAATCGAACCGCTGCCCGCCCACCACGAGCAACTCTTGTGGAGAGCGATGTGGATGAACCATCATCAATTTAACACGGCAGAAGTCGTTAAACTGGGAGAAGCCTCCATGGACTTGTATCGAGGGAAGTAAGCTAGGACCCTTTGCTTCGCGTTAGCAGCGAGTCTCCTCCACGTCTTGAGATTGTACGATTGCAGGTACTCGAGGTAGGTTACATCCTCATGCTGGTCATTTCGCTCCAGATATTTTCTGTAGCTGCCGATAGTCTCATTGACATCTTCGTCGACGCGATACGAACGTGCATGTTGCTCCAACGGACGGCAGTCGACGGAGACGACCATCCGTGTGCCTTCCTGCAGAGGGATGTTAAGCAGAAGGTGGGAAATCTCCTGCGCCGAGTAATCCCTCTCGGCAATCAGCTTATTCATAAGGCGAGAGGAGAAGGATAATAAGGGCTGGAGGTGTGCCGTATGCGGCAAGACCTGATCTGCAAGTTTGCAGTAAGGCTCAGTCTTCTTCTCAGATTTGCTGCAATACTTCGCAGCGTACGTAATAACCGCCTGTAAGCTGGTGCAAGGAGATATGTCGATATTGGCTAGCCAGCCTAGGATGATAGCAGGATTGAAGTGGTTCATGAGGCTGTCGTTCCGCGCCGCCTCGAAGATGTGGTACGACCTTCCTTCCTTCCTGATAACTGCAGCCAGCTCCCGCAAGGCACGAGGGAAGTCAAAACGACACTCCCTCTCTGGATTGGCCGCGTTGGCCGCCTCGATGTCTGCAGCAGCGCCCTCCATATCCCTCGCGATGTCACCGGTTCTCTTCCTCACACGCAAGCAGTACGTGGTGTTGCACTTGTGGCGCTGGCAACGGTTGACAATTTGCGAGAGCCGCAGGAATGTCATCTCTATGCTTAGGGGATCTACGCTCAGCGGATTACCCTCACCCTGAGGCATAGTCCTACTCGGCTCGGGGTTAATGGCAGTGACGTGGAATCCCCACGTGCGTGCAAAAACATCACGAGCGGCTTCGTCCTCCATGTCGGCTCCGGGGCAATTTTCCATCCAGTACAGGCCGTGGTTGTGTGGACTCCACGCCCTTGCCATTCATACGATCCCAGTAATCCGTGACGCTGAACTTCTTGCTTAGCACGATATCCCGAAAGAGGCAGTATCGGCGGTAGAAGTGGAAAGCAGCAATGTGAGGGTTCTGCCGCAATAGGCGGCGCGATAGAGCCATCCTCTCCGGCTCGGTGGCGGCTAGCCAGTCGTCATACTGGGGCATATGCTGGTAGAGACTCCGCCAGTGTAAATCTGCCGGGCTAAACGTGATGAATGCACCAGGACAACCAAGGTTATAGGCATAGGCCTCGAGGTCCTGCCTCCTTTTGTTCCAGAATGGACGCGTACCGCGAATAGACACCGCATGCCTTGTGATCGAGTTGATCAGCGCCTGCGCCTCGGGGTCCTCCTGCCGCCTGGTGGTTCCGGAGCGCCTGAATAAGTTGCTCTCGCGTCAGCGGCTGCTGTCTCCCATCATGTTGCTTCACGAAGAATCTGGACCGTGAACGTGCTTGTGACCGCATTAGCGTGTTGAAGGCGACGAAGCGGAAGGTCGGGTGGCGTGCAAAACGCCCGTCGTGCCAGCGCATCGCGTGCTCGACGTAATCCTTGTAATCAATGGAGCGCAATCGGGTTCAACAAAGTCGGCTCTACCGTCAGGAAAGAGGCAGGGAAACGCCAAGGAGAGTAGGGCATGAGAGCGATTGAATCATTCATGGGTGTGTGTCGTATATTCGGGAGCTGCAGCTCGTGTTGCGCCTGCGCCTGGAAGCTTGTGGAAAGCTCTGAATCAGCTTCTGACTCTCCGGCGAGAATAGACCGCAGAGCATCAAGCTCCGTGTCCTTGGCCAACAGGTCGGCACCGCAGCCTCGTCCTCCAGGTCAGGCTCCGCCTCCTGATCTTCCTCGGGTCCAACATCCGCAGCCTCCACCTGACTCTGGGGGATGGCATCCAGGACATTGCCATCTTGGGGCAATTGATTTAGCCTCTCTTCGTCGATGACGATGCATCGATAGCCAGGATGATGGCGGCGGAGGTAGTCTAGCCATATGACAACCGGCTGGCGGCGCACGCGGAACTGGCGGGTGAATTGCCGGCTAAGATGTGCGTGGGACGACGTATTCGCAGGACGTAGTAATACAGTGTTCAACTCCTGCGGCAAAAGCGGGAGCTGGTTGTACACTAAGCCAACCTCGCGGAGAAAGTGAACTACGTGCCCCCGATATTTGTATTGCTGCCCTCGCACAAGCATAATGTTCACGTGGACGTGAACACGAGCAATCAAAGACTCTTCGGTAGGCGTAAGCTGGGGCAACCGGGCCGGTACAGGGCCGAAGTCGAGCTGATTATCCGCAGAGAAGAAATACGGCTCGTCGGGGCGGCGTTTTTCATCCTTCGATAACAACGCGCACAAATGCCATCGCAATCGATCTTCATCTGGAACCAACTCTTTTGGCATCGACTGCAAAACTGCATTTGGTCATTGTCCAGCTCTGTCCAGAACTCGCGGAGGATGGCCTTGTCGCGACCAGTCAAGGCGCAAGCTTCCAGATCTCCATTCCACACCGGATCTTGTGCGTGGAATACCGCCGACTCTTCAGGTGGAATCCTCACCGGACTCCGAATACGTCGTGGCGGCCTCAACGATCGAGTTTGCCTTCGAGATCGTCTCGGCGCCCTCCTGTGCCAGGAGCCGGACCACGGCGACCAGTCCTCGGCCGTGCAGAAGGCAGCCGCGAGCGATGACGAACAGGGCCTCATCCACGGAGTCGTTACCGTCGCTCTCGTCCCGTCCCCTGGGTCGGAGTCACACTCTACCCCTATTTGCTCCAGGTACCTGCGTGGCCGGACGGGCGAAAGCAGCAGGTTGAAATAGTCCTCGGCGTCAATATCGGACTCCGAGAACTGGCCCCAGTCATCTCCTTCCTTGATTATCCCATCCCCATCTGGAAGCCCACTCGGCCGCGGTCGATCTTGGCTCGCATCTACATTCTGTCGTTAGCCCGAAGTACTGCGACCATTAAGAATATCTGCCCCAGGCCCCTCCGAACCTTTAAACGCGCCGAGTTGAGATATTGAGGGAGTCAGTGACACAGTCTCGCCTGCACGGCGTCGTGAACGATGGCCGCGCTGGATAGCAGCCCGCTTGGCCCTTGCGCCAGCCATGGAGGAATCGTCCTGTGAGTCTCTCCCACACTTGAGGAATCTAGGAGCCAAGTCAGGGTGACCTATATCAGCGTGCTGCTTCGGATAGTAGACGGATCAGAATGTGAGGCGGTTAGTAGTGTCGTCGGCTGCACAGGAGGTGAAGGAGCTATTGTACGGAAGAGCCGCGAGCTTTGTTGGGTTGGTGGAATTGGCGTCCCCAACACTACCACGGCTGGCTAATCGACGCCCCGGATAACGTCTTCGCTGTATGACATTGCCGTAGCCTCTCTGGCGACGTAGGCTGGGTTCCGAACCTGTCGTTAGGAGGTGATAGGCTAGCATCTTCTTCAGTTCTCTTCGGAGCGGGACCCCAGTTGAGGAAGGACGACGGCGAGGTTCCTTAAGTCAGGATCGCGCCTCTGGACCTGGAGTACTTTAATTAGTTAGTATCGAGCGTCTTACGGAGCGGGAGACAGACTGACATGAGAACTGCGCTGATTGCGACAGTCCTGGCAGTTCTTGGTGTGCCCCACCGATTTCCTTTTGCCAATAAAGTCACCTGCCGGTTTCTCCTCGCCACAGCGGACACAGACGATGGAAATCATCTCATCTTGAAGCTCTTGAGGAGTAGACCTAAGACGCATTACTTAATGGAGCAAGACATCAAGAGGCGTTGTGCGGGATGAAATGGGTATTTGAATCCCGAAATTCCAGGTAATTACTATTAAGGGGTCTAAAGCTGCCCCCTAGTAAACAAACCAGGGGTCCTGGCAGCTGTTAAATAGCGACCCACCTTTCGAAGGCCGTCATCCAGTTGCGGTACGTTTTGCGACCAACCATACAAAATTTAGACCAATCAGAGTCCGGGAAACTTACTAATCCCTGTCTGCACCAAACCCTCATTATTGGGAAAACTTCTGGATTAATGTAGAGTCAGCCTTCGGCTGAAAAATCTGACAAGGTTTTAGTCAATGTGGAAATGCCAAGGATCCCTAAGTATGTGGGGACTTGGAATACGAAGGGATACATTCGAGGAGCATTTGAAAAACGCACCACCCTGCTTATCAAGCATACTAACTGCGGCTACCATTGAGGGTGGATGCTCATACCACTATGCCCCGCAAAATCGGCATACAATTGAGAGTGCTATTATCTCGGAGTGATATATGCACACAGAAAAATCGTACTCTCCTCTTGTCAAGTTCTTCGTCTTCTAAGTCTGTCAGGTCAAGTTCTAGCCTTAGCCTTTATTATAGTGTTTGCAATATATCCCCTCTTGTCTCATAACTTCGTTAACATTTGCTGTGGCAGCTGCTCGCGAGGTTCAAAAGAGGTCCATATAGTCTGAGCTCCTTGGCCTCGTATAATCATGTGCTTGTCGCTCCATTTGACTAGCCCCTAGTTGATATCTTGATGTCGCCTTACCCATTACAACTGCTAGCATGAATAGGTAACATGAGAGGTCGTTGTTTTTTCCTACCCCATTTACGTAAAATCGATTATCGAGCGCGTTTTTACAGACATGACGTGGGTATCCAACTCGAAAGCTTGGGCTGTTGAATTCAGGGTGGTCATCAATTCAATCCACTGACGCCTCCGGTGGACGAAAGATCAACATGTGAACCGTGCGAGCGTGCACGTAACCATATAACAGACCGTGCCACCCCTGTTTCAACTCAATCGACGCCCCAGATTGAATTGATGACCACCCTGGTTGAATTCCCAAGTTATTCACTCTCACTTATAGTGATTTTCGGATAATGTGTAGTGTAAAACCGCACTAGAGTACCACTGACGGACAAGTAGGGCCTCTGTTGCGTCCAGTCAACTCGATCGAACGGAAGCGGATCGCTCTGGTACCGTCCAACCTGTTAAATCTAGGTAGCTAGGAAACATCTAGCATATTCTATGACGATGAAATCACAAGTTCATCCAAATACCTGCTGAGTCATTAGTACGTAGCGGCATGGATCTCTCAGGCACGATGATGTTCTGATATCAACGCACGTCACTCATCGGTGTCACCTTTGCTCAGCTAGATGAGTCTATTACCGGTAGCTCGCCCAACTAGACGGTTAATGCAAGCGTCACACATGTCGACGCTCACTGAGCACGATGGCCAGTCGTACCCAACGGGCACATTTTCTTTGTTGCATGTTAATGAGTCTATTTCATGCATCATGATGAAAATTGACGTTCGCGTTGAAAAATATGTCTGACATGAGGTATTAATAAAGGTGAGATCAGTCAAAGGGAAGTGGATGAGATGCATCTCCAATGTCTCAACGTCTTCGTAATTTATCTCGGCAATTGTGATGTTTGCTCTGAGGCAAGAAACCATCAGATTGTCGCCATCGGGCGGGATGTAAACAGAGGGGTAATTTCAATTGCTTCACTGTCATGCAAGCTCATGCATTATAAGATTGGCTAATAGAGTTTCAGCCGGAGAGCCAAGCTGCCGACACGAGGTGGTGCGGGCACCAATTGCGTCCATCTCGATGTGGCGATGTCAGCCACGGCATGCATCACAAGCAATCAAGTGCCTGCACTATGCTTTTCTGGAGTAGGGTAGCAAAGTCTAGTCTCTGGTTCCTTGCTAGAAACTACCGACAGGCTTCCATCGCTCCCTCGAGGTTGTATTCTCAGCTGATGGCGTTTTGATGGCGTTTTGATGGCGATTTGATGCCGTTCGGCTAGGTCGGATACCAAGAACGGAAGCTACTCGGGTCTAGCACGAAACCTCCACGTTTGCTACCATCAGGAGATCAAACTCACTTCCCAATATAGCCGTTCTCGGCCGGAAATATTCCAGTTCGTAGGCTCGAGTGCTTTATATAGTGACCAATAGCTATGCGGCGATGAAATCACCTAGTCTCACCTAAGCCTAGCAGAATCCCGGTTGCAGCTTCCAGACGGATTCCCTGTGAGATCTGAGAATTTAAAATTGTCGCGAAAGTGGATTGAGATATTGCAGATGCCGTCATGACGATTGGTATATCCCCGTTTGCCGAACAACAGATCCACTAAGCCCGCAACGTAGAACTCAAGCATAGTTTCGGAGCTGACGACCACATAGCCGTCTAAAAAAAGAAACTCGCATGGAATTGATTGTGCTTCTGCACGATCTGCTAGTAGCATGAATAAGAAAAGGTCTCGGCGAAAGTCAACGAGGCCCAGTCAGAATTCAGCTCAAAAACATTCAGTGCAACATCGTGCATCCAAAATGACGAGTTAATGATGATGTGAGACCTGGCCAAAAGGCGGAATTTCTCTAGCCTAGACCACACACAGGAATGGCCACGTCATGTCATTTATCCTTTGCAGATGCCGAGATGGCTTTGAGGTGTATCATCTGCCGGAGCCGGCAACACGCGTCTTGGCTTCGGTGTTCGACTTGGTGAAGGCTAACAAGGAATTCATGTAATCTTGAGACCAGATTTGGGAGGCATGGCGACATGAAACAACTCAAGTCATCCGGCTTTGTAATGGGAGAGCGTCTGTGAATAAAGCTGAGGCCTTCCCCCTCATCTTCAAGAATGAATCTTCATCTCTATCTCCCAGCTCATACAGATAGAATCAACTTTGACTTCTCCTGACAACCGCTATCTTCTCTTAGTATACCTCTTGGACGAACCCTTTGCAATTCCTACTTCCTCAAACATCCTCTCACCCATTGACGTCAAAATGAAGCTCTCCCTCATCGCCCTCATTGCCGCTGCTGCCCCGGCCATTCTGGCCGCCCCTGCCCCTGAGGCTGAGCCAGGTGCTCCAGCCAAGTACGGCGACCATTATCCTCCCAAGGGCGGATACGGTCGCTACGGTGACAAGGGTGGGAAGCATAAGGGCAAGGGAGATGACGACGATGACGACGACAAGTACGACGACAAGTACGGCTATCCTTCCAAGGGCGGAGACAAAGGCCACTACAACAAAGATCGCCGTGGCAATGATTATGGAGGTTATGGGGACGACAAGGGCAAGGGCCATGGAGGTTATGGGGACGACAAGAGCAAGGGGCATGGAGGTCATGGGGACGACAAGAGCAAGGGGCATGGAGGGGACGACAAGGGACACGGCAAGGACCATTGGAAGGACCACGACAAGGGCTACGGCAAGGGCTACTAGGCCACTGGCTTTCAGGTCCAATCTTGGCTCCGAACCGGTCTCTGTGGGAGACGATTTAGGATTGGGTATGAGAAAGCGACGAATGGTGAATATAAGCCTGACTGGCGACGAGGTATCGAGAAGGGAATTAACGTGGATGAAGAGCTCGAGTTCATGTTTTATGTTTGGAAGTATTGACACACTCCTTCATGCTATGCGAAGGCATCGGAACGATGTCATAGTTGACAAGCCAAAACTGGCCTGAAAAATATTAAATACAATGTCTGTCCTTTACGAGACTTTATGAAACTTTTAGATCTCTTATATTTTACTATAAGAAGTACAAGTAAGTCTGTGAAGGAAATTACTGTACTGATTCCAGAGGTGTTGGAGATCAGCAATAGAACTCCCAGCCGTTAGGCCAAAAGAGGAACCAGTATCCGCACAATGTGCGGGTACTGCACCTCACATCTCTATATCAGGCTCCGGAGGTCCAGCGCTGATGGCAAGGACCCGACCCGCGTAATATCCTTACAATTACAATATGAAGTTATACTCCAATGAAACGTTAGATAGCTCTTGTAGTCCGAATATGTAGAAACTTATCATATGTGACTTGATCCCGTCCTATGTCTTCACGTAGTGTTCGAAGAACATGGACACTTCCCGGTGGAAGAAGATTGCCGAGCGGAGGGGATTCGATATCGCCAGCCGTGTCCGCTTGTATGCCAGGTCGAGGCTCGTCAGGAAAGCCTCAGCCTCGTCCGGATCCCGCGTCCGATACGCAGCGAGCCTCAGCTTGACCGGGTTTGTGATATCGTTCGGGTCAGAAACCTATAGGGCAGATAACGGGAGGCACATCATCAGCTGCTCTATCACATGCTCCTTATCCGCCGCCTGTGTATGGCCAGAGATTAGAACTCGATGCTTCTGTTCTGTTTGTAGCTTGTGCGTTGCGTCATCACTGAGCAAGCGTGTTCTACATGACCAATAATTATGTTCATACGAACATATAATATCTCAGCAGTGACATTTCCCTGCGTGTTCTAATACATATAAAGGAAAGTCGATTATATAGTTCACCAATGTGATCTAATCCTGATGAAGCAAGGCCGAACTATATAGAGTTGGGGTGAAAACGAGCGGGGTTCCCCCCCAACCCTTCCCCCCCTCCCCCAACCCTTCCCCCCTCCAACTCTTCTCCCTCCATGATTTTGGCTGTGATAAATATTTGCAGAGAACAAAATGCCAACCGCCTCTCACGTCTGTAGCAGGTGTGGAGAGCCTTGGACTTCAGGCCTATCTGGAACATATCGCACGTGCCCACGATGTCGAAAGGCGGATGCAGTTCGCAGAGAACGAAGGAAACGCGCACGCCAGGGTGATGGGATACGTCGCTGTACCAGTTGTCTTAGACCCTGGAACTCAACACTCTTCCGTCTGACGCCGAGGAGCTGATCGATGCCGCGCTGTCACAGGGCCGGTACGATTGCTTGGCCCTCTTGCTCAACAAATCCAGTCCCGTTCGGAAGGCTGTAACTCTGGGGAACATCACAAGGACGAGACAGTCACTGGATCAACAGAAAGATATCGTGCAGAGGGGAGACAAGTGGACCCCAACAAAAATCTGGGGGTTCCAAATTGGAACGGATTTACCAAATACATTCAACGCAAAGGATGCTTCAGAGGTCGCGAAGCTCCTAGACGAGATCGGTCGTGATCTGAAGCTCTGGGCACCTTTCAGAATCCTGGTGAAGAGCCTGAAGATCTCGATGTTCTTCGCTACCGGTGTGGTAGTGTGGTACGAAATCTTCTCTCGCCGGTCTTTTCATGTTGCAAAGAATTGGTGGTCTGGCTTGCGTTATGTTTTGTAGATGTGTCGTGGCCTGGTTGTAACTGTATCTCATAACTGTATCTCAGAAACCGATGCATCTTCTGCGACAAGGCCGGCTGCAGTCCGAGGTCCCCGGCACGGAGCACGCCCCGCTCAATTGACTACAGGAAGGGCTAATTGAGCCATTAATAGCCGAATGACGAAGAAGAACAAGATCGAATGGATTTAGTCCATCACATATATATATACCCTTATGCTTGATGGACAGCTTCAGCTAGCTCCTATTGGTAAAAATCTTCAGCGCGTGCTTGACCTTGGTACCGGGACCGGTATCTGGGCGATGGCTTTTGCAGAGTGAGTTTCCAGTCCTGGTGGTGATTTATTCCAAGATCCTTTCTTAACAACCCTGGGTATTAGTGATTATCCGTCCGCAGAAGTGCTCGGGACCGATCTGAGTCCTATACAACCCAAATGGTATAAATATTCCCTTCTACTTTGCTGGATCCTATTAACAACCATGATGCAGGACTCCGCCCAATTGCTTCTTTGAAGTTGATGATTATGAAGAAGACTGGGTATATCGCAAACCCCTCATGGCCAGTTGGACATAGACGTCCAAAGCGAGACTCGGGCAAATGATATGTACGAACATTGGTCTTGGTCATTGAGAGTGATATTGACAGTAGAGGTAGGTATAAAGTATCGAAAGGAGCATCGAACGATAGCTAAACGTGTCCGCATTTCTTTCCGTGCTTTGGTGGGCACATGAATATCGAGTCTGCAGGTGATCCAAAGATGGCTTCATCCCCAAAGTAAAATGCGTTGTAATCCTTATCAACGCACTTGCCGCCACCCGTGGGACCCACATGTGCACAGTGAATCTAGATGGCCAAAGTCAAGTAAACGCAGTCTTCAATATCAAGGAATGTAGAACAACTTACATCTGGACGACTTAAAGTCAAGATGACATGAATCTTCCGGCAAGCAACGGTGTTGCTAGTCGCGTAATCGAAGGTACCGAAGGGGATTGTTTCCAAAAATCCCAGGCATTCCTCCGGACTGCTCACTGATTGTTAGCTTCAATGTTCTATCCCATCTCCGCCTCTATGCCTCTGTTGTAGCGAATTAGGATTTTGCCAACCCACTTGTTCCACTGCGCATTAGGCCCCACGCATCGCTGCATGGCTAGGCCACAAATTGCCTGCTTGAAGCCGGCTTGGACAGCTAGATTGGACAGCGGTGCTCCGAGATTCATTTCGACGAATGCCTGGAGATTTGGGATCCAGGCGTCGTAGTGAGTGACTTCTCCTTTATCATTGAAGCGCCAGAATGCCACCTGGAAACCATTTTAGACATCATATCCCAAACTCATCCATCGATGGGAGGGATGAAAGTGTTAACAGCTGACTCACCTGTTTGAGGTACGTAACAAACTGAACGGGTACTGTAGGGTTTGCAATATCAACGCTTGAGACCTTCAAGTATACCGTCGACGTCGCAACCTCCGGACATCCAGAATTGAACTCCACGATTTTCGCCTCAGAGAAGATGGTAGGATTCTGTTTATCGGGGACGGGGGCCAGTCCGACGAAGTACTCGATCGAGCCAACGAGGTCGTCGAAGGCCCCGACTGGCGTGACGCGGCCGGAGATGTCGTTGGCGAAGAGCCCTGGCGGGAAGGTCGATGTGCCTTGTGTTATAATAGGGACATTATCTGGAGCAGTATGTTAGTAGAACGTTGAAGTGTGATTTATCCTGTCTAATGAGCATGGAATGTATGCAGATGAAACAGAAAAGGAAAGCTTGGTGTACTTGGGAAAACAGTAAGGTCATAGACGGATTGGATTGTTGCGAGGTTCCGAGCTTTGAAGTCGCAATCTAGCCCCTTTCTCTGAGCCGAAATGCCCAAGGGCGATAGAGGGAGAAGGAGTAAACCGAGTCTCTTCATAATAGAACGGTTCAACTTTTAGAAATCTTTGCAAAGGGTTCAAACATAAATGAGGGACATTAAGGGAGTTCAGAGATGATTCGATCGAATTACGGGCACGAAGACAAAAGCACAACGACAGCAGGACTGCATACAGGACAGTCTTCGCTTTTAAGGCAGTTCCCATAATTAAATCCCTGGTATCCGGGAGTTATTGGCATGTGAAGATGACTGAGCGTTAAGGTGGAGAGGACGGGCTTCCACTGATTGTAAGAATAATACCCCGCAGAAAGTGCCCATTTGTGGTAACACTCCATCACTTTGCTCGTCGTTGTTTTTTTAGTTGTGTAAGTGGGCCGATCGGATAAGGGCCTGATCGGTTAATGGGGGAGTTGACTTACACCATGAGAATAATCGAGGTGCATGGCCTACGATAGACATTCCGTGCAGGGTACGAGTCGCCGAGAATAGAAGACCATTGCAGGCACAAAATATAGACGTCATGATGAGGGCGTTCACGAGGTGAGGCAGGCCGTGGATTCTGAGCCGCTGCATGGCGATGATATAGCGCCCGCCGCTCCCTAATGCGGACGAAATGAGCCGTGGATGACGTACTACAGGGTTATGACATAGTCCATGTCGAGACGGCCAAGACATGATTAATAACGCCGTCACAATCTCATAATGAGGCGTTTATTCATTGAAAGAAACCTCGATCTGCAGCTGCAAACCCCGCTTTGTCTCTCTCAAATTGACTTTTCCCCCATACGGAACCCTTTCACTCACCACCAGGCAACCATTGCGCCATGAGTCCTCGGAGGCGTGCCGGCCCGAAGCTCGTCGTTGAAGAGCTCGAACGGGAACGTGGCTATCTCGCCAGGCGTAGGATTCTCATCCAGGTTAAATATCTTCCTCGGCGGGATCTGCGGCGTTGAACCTGACAAGAATGAGGACAGAGTAGAGAGCCTCGACGGGCAGGGAGACGAATGCAGGGTCAACGACGTTTCAGAGCCTGCTTGGCCCAAGAAAATGTCCTGGGAATCGATATCCATTGTGTTGGCGGCTGGGAAGCTAGATTGCTCTGTCAGCGAAGGAATAGTATGGCTCCCTTCAGCGGCGGCGTACTGCAACATTTGACGCCCTGAGACACTCTTTGCACTCTTTGCACTCTTTACACTCTTTACACTCTTTTAGGCGAAAGGATAGGTTGGGGCTGCCGTGAGCGTGGCATCGTGAGATGGACGCGACCGCCGAGGAGATCCTGGTCGCGGGTGGGGATTCGGTGACCGCGACGCGTCGCTCGTCGAGACCCGTGAAACCAACCGCGAAAGCCCAAAAAATTTGGCAAGTAGCCTCAAGCCAGGCCGGAACATCGAAGAATGCCGGCACAAAGCAAGTGGCAGCAGGCGACAACGACTGGGACAATGCGGACGAGAGACTGCAGGCCGTGGATGGCGCGGCCCGCAGCGATTCATCGCTAATGCAGATGATGTTCCAGACGACGCTCCAGACGATGCTCCAGGAAACGTCGAGCCATCTCATGGACAAGCAGAAACAGATGCTGGAGAGGCTCTGGGATGCTTTGATGGAGAACCAGCGAAAAGCGGCAAAGGGAACGAGCGATCAGCTGGAGATAATCCGACAACTGCAGCAGGAGATACGGACGGTCAGGGCCGAGGCGGCTGACGACCGGAAAACGGCCGAGGAAACCAGAAGCATGCAGGAACAGACAGCACGTGAGATGAAACAGATGCGCGAGCAGCTGAGTGAACAGCTCAGGCAGGTGAGGGAACAAGCGGCAGAAGAAACAAAGCAGTTGCGAGAGCAGCTAGACGCGATGGCCAAAAGTATTCAGGCCAACAGCGCCCAGACGAGCCCGCACCCATCGTATGCAGACGTAGCCCGTACCCCGCCGTCAAGCCAGCCAAGCAACCTTCAAACCCTCTCGTCGATACAAACAACACCGTCCACGCTTACCGATACTCTCTTCTGCACTATCGACACATCACGTGTCAACGAGGAGGAGAAGGGCAAAGCGCAAGTGGGAGGAATTCGACAGGCCATTGAGGAGGAGATGCGAAAGAAGGAGGGCCGACAGGACTGGAGGTGTGCAGCCGTGGTGAGGAATGCAAAGAACGCAGACCGTATTAAGGTGATCTGCCGAGACGAGTCGGAGATGAAGCTCGTCAAGGAAGCGGCGGAGAAGACAGCAGTCACGGGCGCAAGAGTCCTCAGGGACCAACTATATCCGGTCAAAATTGACGGTGCAAACAGGGCAGCGGTACTGGGCTCAGCTGGCAACGTGCTGCCAGGCGCGGCGGAGGCGTTGGGAAAGGAGAACCGAGTGACGATTGCCAAGATGCACTGGCTCAGCGACAAGGAGAATAGGAAATCCTACGGCTCGATGGTGATCTACGTTACGAAGGTGAGCGATGCGCAACGCTTGCTGGAAGAGAGATACTTTCACCTCGCTGGGGAGTCGGCCAGCACCAACGTTTTCGAGCAACGCCAAGGCCCGGTCCAATGCTACAACTGTTGGGAGCTTGGTCACAAGGCCTTCACCTGTAACAGGCCCCAGCGATGTGGCAAATGTGCAGAAACGGGACACCGCCACACACAGTGCCAGGCGATCGAGCCGAAGTGCGCTCTCTGCGGAGGGCCACACGAATCGCTCAGTCGCAACTGCCGAGTGCGACAAATGCATAGCAACAATGTGTACTAACCTCCAGATCCTCCAGCTCAACGTGGGGAAGAGGGATGCAGTGCAACTGAGCATGATGAACGACGGAGACTTGCGGGACTACGCGGTGCTGGCAGTAGCCGAACCATACGTATTGAACATTGATGGTACGGTGGTGACAGCACCGAACAACCACAGAAACTGGACGAGATTTATACCGACGAAGAAACATGAGATGCGATGGCCGATCCGCAGCATGCTCTGGATCCGCAGGGATCTAGAGGCGGAGCAGGTGCCGATACCCTCAGCCGACCTGACGGGAGCAATAATACGGCTGCCCGACCGGGACGTCCTGGTGGTATCGGTGTATGTGGAAGGGAGGAATGAGAATGCTCTACGCACGGCAATGGAGCAACTGCACAGGGTGATGACGGGCTTCCGCAACAGCACAGGGAAAAGAACGGATGTGATCTTGGCAGGCGACCTCAACCGCCACGACCAACTATGGGGAGGTGACGAGGTGACAGGCAGACGCCAAGGGGAGGCAGATCCAATTATCGACCTCATGGACGAG